TAATTGATAAATAAATTATAATTAATTTAATTGATTAATTGATTAAAAATTTTATATCAAAAAGTTTAAAACAAATTAAGTAAAAAAGAGGAAATGTCAAAAAAAAAAAAAGGAAACACAGCAAGTTAGTGTATATAATCGAAATAGGATAACATTTTTTTCCTTTTAATTCGGTCAAAATAGTTGACCAAATTACTCAATATTTGGGTCAAAATAATTGACCGAACAAAGGCAACCCATATCCCAGCTTCATGCAAATTCAAAATATATATCTATATCTTTAATTCGGTCAAGTTGCTTGACCAAATTAAGAAACTAATTATTTCGGTCAAGCAACTTGACCGAAATAAGCTTACAAAAAAAAAAAAAAATTACCCCGCGCTTCTATTTGAATTTTTTGTTGGAAAATGTTTGAAATTCTGCCTTTTTTATTTCGGTTTCATATCATAATTTATATAATAATAAATCTTAATGTTAATTGTAATGTTTGCGTTAATTAATGTTCTAATTGAATATGTGATATTGCAGAAAGAAAAAGATCCTGAGCATAGGGATCCATCATTTGTTGATGTGATTCATGTAAAAAAAAATGCACCATCCAAAAGAAAAAGATAAAATACAAATATATATATTGATGAGCAAGCTCAGAGAACACTGTGAGTTTAATTTCTTAGCTTTTATTATTTCTTGCGGTCAAATCAAGGAATATAGTAACATGTGGATTGATTAATTCAAATAGCTAGTTACCTATTTTGGTCACCTATTTTGACTAAAATATATCATAAAAATGAATAAAATTTTATGGAATTATTTCGGTCAGTTATATTAACCGAAATAAAGCTTCTAGAAACCCTAGCAATTGTATTCCTTTTTTTGAATTTGCCGGTACATTTACTTCGGTCAATATAAATGACCGAATTAATTTCATAAAATTTTTGGTTCCCACGCCTTGCCTTTTGAATTTTTTGGTGGAAAATGTTTGAATTTTCCGCTCTTTTATTTCGGTCAGTAAGACTGACTGAAATGAGTTCTATAAATACCCCTTCCCATTCTGTGTTTTCACTTTGCTTTCTTTGTTTTTTCTTCCTCAACGTCCACTTTTCTGCTTCTCTTCCAGTTCTCTTCCATTATTTCTTTCTTCTTCAACCTCAACATTTTACTTTAGTTTTTATTTATTTAACTTTCAACAATTATCTTTAACATTATGTAATGTTAATTGTGTAACATTATCTTTATGTTATATAATGTTAATTGTGTA